GGCTCTGGAATTTCTTAACTCTCCCAAAGATCCACTTTGACAACTTCTGTCATTATTCTTCCCCCTCACTCCTTTTCATCATTGTATTTTTATTAAATTCTAAGTTTAGCTTGGCCTGGAACTCTACTCTGACAGTATTTTACCCTGTGACTGCAGAACACTTAATCATTGCTCTAGGAATAGAGCTGGTTTGTCCTGTGTCAGAGCAATGCTAGGGAATGTTACTTCTGCGGATGACTTGGCACCATTCGGGACACGACGGTGATTGCATATCACAGGCTTGCCTGCTGAACCAAGAAAGCAATGGTGCCCAATTCCCTGATACTTACAGATGACAACATATTCTTGTTCAGGACAGATGGTGATCAGGTCCCCATGTTACATGCTATGTAAGAGTTATGGTCCTTGAAGTATAGTATGAAAGAAATTTCATAAAATATGTTTAAAATTTTTGTTTTTCATCTTCCTTCTCTTCTTTCCTCTTCCTCCTCCTTATCACCACCACCACAACCACCACCAGTAACAGCAGCAGCAGCATTCTTTAGCTCAGGCTGGCCAAGAACTCACCATGGAACGCAAACTTGCTTCAGACTTGTAGCAATCCTCCTGCCATAGTCTCCTGGGTGCTGGTGTTATAGGTTGAAAATTCTTGAAATGGTTAGTAAAGAAGAAATTGCCCAGTGCACGGCGATAATAGGTATTGATCCCAGCCAATGATGTTGAAATCTAACTGAAGTAACACTTCCTTATGTATAGAAGCATAGTTCAAGACAGCCCAAACAATAAGACATGAAAGTAGAAGTCAAAGTGTCTAGGAGAACAAAGATGAGTGACAGAGCAGGGTGAAAAACCTGGGCCTCCATTTTCTTTGCTGCTACAGGAGGCAGAAAGAGCCCGGGAAGATGTATCCTAAATATCCTGTCCATGAAAGGAATGTTCAGAGTGGCTCCTGAGTACAGCACCTTATCTTGTTTTCTTCAGAGTATTTCTTTTACCTGCTGTCTTGTTACAACCAGAGGCTAAGCCTTGACGCTCTCAGAGGGTTTGTCTCTAATGTTCAAAATGTGATCGCGAAGGCTGATTGCAGTAATTGGTTCACAGTAATATTAAATAAGCATCAAGTGACAAGACCGTGTGTCTTTTAAATTTCAGCTCTACCACACCTAGTTGCTAACCCTTCCTATTTTTGCTCCTTAAGTACTTAGCAAATATATCCCTTTCCTTCCATACTTTTTTTTTTGTTTTTTTGGGTTTTTTTTGCTTCTGCCCTTGTTCAGACTCCTCTTTCTTTTTTATTTGTAGCTAGTTCCCTTTCTTTGCTGTAGTCTAGCTTCAGCCATTCCGTCATGATTTGAACGGATTGTTCTTATGTTCAAAACTCTGATGCAATGTTACGATCTTCCTTATTGTACTGTGGTGTTTCATATCTACCATATAATGATATGTCTCTGCTCTTAACATACTCTTTCTCCTACCATTTATTTTGCATTCTCCAAGAATTTAACCAACCATGCTGACAAAATATGTAAGTAATAACACTATTTATATTAACAAAAGACGGACAAAACCAATATGGCCATTAAAACAGATCCATTCATCATTCCATATGCTTATGTGGTTCATCTTCTAGCAAGTACTGAAGAAGTAGATAGTAAAAAACTCATTTGGATATTGGTAAAAAAAAAAATTAAAATGTTTACTATTAAAGGGCTTTATAAATAAAACTAAACTCTGAATATTGACCCCAAACTGTGAAAATTATAGCTGGAAACAAGACTGGTCAAAAAGCATGGATGACCACAGGAAATCTGAAGGCTACTGAAAAACAATTGACAGTTTAAATGGGCCCCACATCTTACCATGCAAACTGTAGTCACCCAACCCCATACTTCTCCAGAGTGCTCTTCCAACATAGACAAGCAGATGCTCAAGCTAACCCAACCACAGTCTTTATTTCCTACTGTGCCAAGGTTCAACATGAGCCATTTTATTCTTAGCAGGATCCACTGCTCCGGGTTTTCTGATAATAACAAAATACGACCAATTGTAAAATAATGCATTGTAATATGCCCTTTTCAGAGTTTCTCACAGTTGCTTCTTTGCTGACTACATTGCTCTTTCCTCCAGGAAGTTCCCCTTGCACAGATGATGAACTCTGACCTCTGTTCATAGCTCTATTCTAGAACTAATATAGAGGTATTATAATGACACAGGGTACATGGTCACATTCACTTTCTATAATCCCATGGCAGTGGTCTGGTTCATCTCTCTTACCAGACTGGAAGTATCTCAAAACAGTGAGTGGATCTTTTAATTGTGATCTTAAAGTATGACACACACTAATGTGACTGTAATTAATTAGTGTAACTACTACACTAATTAATGTGTAGTAAACTGACTGGAGAGAAAAATAAAATGAACATAGCATTGAACTAACTTCTTTTTTTTAAATTTTTATTGTTTTTAATATTAGTTACAGTTTCTTAACTTTGTATTCCTGCTGTATCCCACTCCCTGTTTCCCTCCCAATCCCACCCTCCCACCCTCATCTCCTCCCTGCCCCTTTCTAAGTCCACTGATAAGGGAGAACCTCCTCCCCTTACATCTGATTCCGGTATATCAGGTGTCTTCAGGACTGGCTACAAAGTCCTCCTCTGTGGCCTAGCAAGGCTGTTCCTCCCTGGGGAGGGGGGGGGGAGGTCAAAGAGCCCGCTTCTAATGACTCGTTATACCCATAGAGTAGTGCATCTCTCAACGCTCATCACACAAGTTTCTGCGTGCTGCAGATCGTGATTAACAGAGACCTACAACTGAGCAAAGTGCAGAGAATAAGACACTGAAAACTTCTCCACTCTGAATGGGACATCTATATCAAACTCCCTACGTTCAGGCCCAGGGATCAGTTTAGAAAAGGAAGATGGAAGTGTAAGAGCGGAAGTGGTGGATGATTGCAATGAAACTGTGTCTTCCAGACACAGCAGGGCCCATGTGAACTCATGTGATTGTAACAGTATGCACAAGACCCGTGCAAATTCAAGCCCAGCCAAATCCCAACATAATGATTACAGATGAGGAGGAATTCTCTCCCCTAGCTGATGAATCATTGGCAATTGCTAGCTGCTGGGAGAGGGAGAGTCAGTTTTCTTTGCAAGTGTAGCTCATGGTTATTCGACCACACTCTAGTTGAAAGCCAATATCCCAGAAAATATGGTCACACACTGGATTCAGTGGGTTTAAAAAAAATAGAGGCAATAATATCAGATGAGTAGGAACAGAATGGATCATGGAGGAGTTATGGGAAGGGATAAATATAGTTAAAATACATTGCATAAAATTCCAAAAGAACTAATTTAAAAAATGAATATATCCTTCCTGTTGCCCAGTAAAGAGAAAGCTGTAGAATATGGGTTGAAGAAACGAGATACCTACCAGTAGACCCTCAGTCTCCATTTTGAAATGTTCTGCAATTGGATCACCATCCTCTTGGGGTGGTTGTGTGGTATTTACATGACTACAGAAAGGCAGTCCTTTTTACTGAAATCTCCCCAGTCCCAAAAATGTGCTTCATATTGAAAACGACGCATAACCCATGTGTCCTAGCTATGGAATTTGTAACAATTTCTTCTCGGGGCTATTTCTACTCCATAGGCATCTTTTCATTGGAAACAAGACTGCGTTTGAGAGTCAGATAATGAAGTGAGAAACATGAAGGTGTGTGACCAAGAGCTTAGACGGAATCGAGTTCAAATTCCACCCCTTCTATTTTCTGCATGAGTAATGTGAGCAAACAGCTTAATCCTCTTAATCTACACAATGGAGACAACGAATCTTAATCTTGTGGACGCTTTAATGTTTTTAAACTTCTTTTTTTTTTACATACAAAATGGAGGCAAAGTGGTATTTGAAAGACAAATGTATCAGTGGGACTGATAAAGCAAGAATAATAGATTACTAGGGTTCCTAACATTCAATAAGCAACTAAATACAGTTTTTTGGTTATAGAGCCTGACTTCTGCTCACATCCAACTTAGTCTCATAAGAGCAGTGAGAGCCTGGGACACTGCTCTTCCTCCATCCTTAAGTCATCTTCTCCAATTTACCTACCAGTTAGGGTACAAACACTGTGGTAGGCAGAAAGCCTTGTACTTATGGTATCAAATATTATTTCAGGGGAAGGGAATCCTCTTGAAGTGGATTCAGCTGGCAAAATGCTTGCCAGGCACGCATGAAACTCTGTATTTGATGTTCTTGCATCACTGCATAGAAATTGAGCGTGAAGGTAAAACCTGCAAGCCCAGCACTCAGGGGTTAGAGACAGGTGAACCAGGAGTTGATGTACATCCTGAGCTACACATCTTATTTCAGGATAGTCTAAGCTTCTTGCGAACATTGTTGTGTGAGGATACAGTGCAAGGTCGTTGGAAATCAGAATTTCACAGAGATACTAGATGTAACTAGAAATCCCTCTACAAAACAAATGCGCATATGTAAAAGAATAATATTGTCTGCAACTTTTTATTGATTTAGCTGAAAATTAGAAATCTACATATTTAAGTATTACATATAACACATGTACACACAATATGCCTGGCTGTATGCTACACAGCACGTGCATATTCCAAATGTGTATGATATACAGCCTGGTACATATATCAAGATATATGTCAAGGCAGGTACCTCATTGTAACCTATTGAGCTACAATAACACATTGAAAACTTGCTATTTTACTTTTGAATGGGGAACACAGAGAAGAAAGAAAGGGAAACAATAACTCCTAATACAGGATTTTAGAGCCAGCCAAGAGGTGGCCAGGACTTCCGCCTGCCGTGCCATTGTGGCAGGACCACAGCTCCCAAGTTGTGCAACACCTTCAGTAAACACTTGCTGAAGCGTACACAATGAGGCAGGGAGTGTTGTTCTGTCTCCCTTAAGAGGAGGCTGGGGCAGAAGCAAGCTCACCTGTGTGAGCGGAGGCAGGCACTGCTCCTGGGATCCCAGCATGCAGCAATGGAGTCTTCTGGTGCTCTTTTTCCTCCTTTCTCCAGTTCCAGGTAGGTGTTAACTCTTCTCTGGGTTCTGTTCAGCATGTCATGGGACTGCCTGTTTATCCATCTGCTTCTTTTCTGATGGTATATAATACACTGGTTAAGCTGTTTGTTTTTGTCTTTTGTTTTGTTTTGTTTTTTGTGTTTTTCCCCCTATGACCAGTTTTTATAACCATCTAGACTGGTTTTACTCTCTGGTCTGAGAATTGTAATGGATGTTCAGGAGAGTAATCAGAGGTTTTCCTGAAACACTTATATGTCAGCTCTGATATCTTTAAAAGAGAAAGGGAAGCTCTCACACATTTAAACCACAAATGTGATCTTTGAGTCCAAAACCAAAATCTCTCAAAACTAATCATGTTAATCTTTAGTTCCATAAAACAGTAGATTTGACTGGTTATGACCGCTAAGACTTGGGGAAAGGATCTGTTCTTAAAATTGGGGCCAGTTCAGCAACTTAACGTTACTTTGAGCTGCACATTTTTATGATTAAAAGTAACAGATACAGTTAATTGTCAGGATTTTGTGCCCAGACTTATAATTATAAAGCATTGTGATGTTACTGGGGAGAAGTTTCAGTTTAATGTGGCTTCATAGTCCACTGCCGTTTCACTGGTTATAGCAAACATGTAAGAATTTAGACATGTTCTAGCAAGCGTGTCTTCCCATTTTATAAATTCTCAGCTCAGTTTCGCATGCCTTGGATCTGATGACACATTTCTCTGGCTTGTTCTGTGTCTAAAGCTTGAATCTTCATGCTAGCTGGCAAACGTTTTCTTGAACCATAGACTGTTTGCTGGGATCCAGGAATGAACAAATTCTAAACAAAATTGAAGCCATCAATCATAAAAGGGTTGTCCTCTTCCCTAATCCACTCTGCCTTTATTTTTCTAAAAAATGACTTCCCCTTTGTTTTCCAGACTTGTAAAAATCATACTTAATATCTGTAAATATTTAGGATACTAATATATTCTTAAATACATGATCCCTTGACTTCAAATTCCTAGAGTCACAGATTTCAAAGAGTAGGAAGTCTTTCCTTTATAGAAATTTCTTTATAGGAATTTTTTTCTTCACACTATCTGAAAACACTATCCTCAGGACTGTGGGAGACACCACTCTCAACAGAAGCAGAAGGACTACCGGGGATCAAGGAGAGAAAGGATCCAGTAACAGGCTCATGGTTAATGGTGGGACCTACTGCCTTGCTACTGCCTTTTCACTCAAATCAGACACCAAACTGTTTCTGCTCCTCTAACTCTCCATCAGCAACCTGACAGCAAGAGATGTAAAGCCTTGTAGTTGAGCCTAAAAGCGTGACATTATTCCAAGCATGTGCTACTAGGAGTTCTGATTGCTCTCTAGTAAGGGGACATTAACTGTCTAAGGCATCATCCTGCCCACTGAAGGACCCTTGCTACACCACCCATGAAGACTGGTTTCCCAGACAGAATGCAAGAAATGAAGTTTTGTTTTCTTATCTTGTCCTCTTCATTCCTCCCTCCCCATCATCAATTCACTATTCACGTGCCCTCTGATGTTGACTTTTACGTGGTTCCACTGGAAGTAAAGGTGAAGATGTACAGTAGGTCCAGATGCTTGTAATGAGCTTCTCCATCCCCTGAGAAAAGTGACATGGGATTTCATCATAGGACAAGTAAAAAACAAATATTTAAAAGGACATGGAAGGTGTTTGCGAAAAGAAAAAGTAAATTAATGCATTGACAAAGGCAAGTCTCCATCCTGTTTCACGAATATGTACAGAGAAAGAGTGGCTTCAAAAATAATTTTATTTCAAAGCAGCAATTATTTCTGGCCTTTATAAAAAGTATACTTTGGAAAAAGTATGTCCTGGTGCACAATTTAACCTATTTAGCCAAATAATAACTTATTAGAATATGAGTTCTTGTCTCCCCCATACTCAATTTTACTGAATAACATTGAGAAGTACAAGCATCTGAGGGGACAGAGAGTCGGTGCCATTGCACAAACTTGCACTGAAAGCTTGATGTCTCATTTGAAAAGACAATCCAGAAACAATTTTAAATAGATTTGGAGGGAAATGAAGATGCTAATATTATGTACAAATGTCCCAAAATGGACCTGAAAGAACAAAATTCTAGACCAAGGAGAGCTTCATCAGTCTCATTAATGAGCTTTGCTTGATTTTAAACTAATGGACAATTAAAAGAATCCAGTCCACTGCTGCACACTCACACACATTTCTAGCTCAAACCAAACTTACTGTTTTCTCTCTCAACCCAGTTCTGCCAGTCAAAAAACTAGCCCAACACATGAGTTCTGTGGGAGAGAGAAAGCAAACAAGTATTAAAATAAATTAATAGAAACATATTGTGTTTCGCCTTGTATTTGCGTAATCCCTGGATGGCAGTTAGCTCTGTTTGTGTCACTGGCTTCCTAATAATTAACTTGATTTCATTCACCAGGGAGGAGGTTGCCCGATCTCCATCAAATGGGAGTACATTGAGGCAAACAATACCTGTGTCTACCCCATTCCTTTCTGCACTGTGGAAATCCCGACATCTCAAATATCATATTTCAAGGGCCTTCTAGCTTTCAGGAGAATCAGAGCCTTCGAGGAGAAATCCTATCTGTTTTCTTTAGAGAACTGAATTGTGTTGTAAGGATTTGAAATGAACTGGAAACTTACTAATTCATATTGCTAAGAGAAGTTGCTAAAGGCTTGAAAAAGAAATTGTTTGTTTGTTTGTTTTGGTTTCCACTTGAAAGTGTTTCCTCACCAAAGAGTATGTTGGGAATAAATTCTGTAGCTTATATGTTTTGACTCCGTATTTAAGAACTAGTTGGTGACTTCTGGCTTTATGAAACATTAGGCTTGAGACTAACTCAAGTGTGGGTTCAACATATACAACACAGAAAACAGCTTGCTGTTGGATAGGATCACCTAGTTTCCTGTTCACTTTTTTTCTCAAAGAGGAGTGGGGTTGCTATAATGTTTTGTTTTCATAGGAAGGGCCAGGTGGGTGTTGTCACCACTGAAAGGAAACTTCAGTTGATTTTCTGATAGAATCGCACATGTTGTGGATGAACCCTATGACCCATTCTTTTTTTTTTTTGTCATTTTAACAAAATTAAAAAAGTTTATGTGTAGGGGTGTTTTTTCTGCATGTACATCTGCTTGTAGAGGCCAGAAGAAGGACTGGATCTTAGAGACAGTCTCTAGGTGGGAATTAAACTAGGGTCCTTTGGAAGAGTAACAAACACTGAGCCATTTCTTCATCCCTCCAAAATGGTATTAAAAATATTTCTACTTTTTAATTGTGTGTGTCTGACTGTGTGCATATGTGCATAGAGAGTGCAGGTGTCTACGTAGACCAGAAAAAGGCACCAGATGCCCCAGGGACGGAGCTTCAGGCAGCTGTGAACCACCTAAGGTGTGTGCTAGAAAGTGAAGTTTGCATCCTCTGGAAGATCAGGAAGTACTTTTAACCACTGGGCTATCTGTGCGGCCCCACTCCTCCTTAGTATGGCATTTAAAGAAAAGAAAATTGCTGAGGCTGCAGCATCAGCGAGAGGTGGTTTTATGACCCAATGTCTATGGTGCTAATTTCCCTGATTAGGCACCTTAATACCCCAGGTAGCATGCTGGCACCTTATGGTGTGTTTGTTCTGTGTTCGTGAATTAAAGGAGGCAGCAGGGAATTGTGCCCATGCCCTTAGCTCATTTTTGGCAAGAGCTGTTTCTCACCTCTTGGCATCTCACTGCTATGAAGTAATCCTGAAATTTTTAACAGGAGAGAATGACCATCTCACATTTTAGAACTTTAAAGCATTTTTGTAAACCATACTATTACTTTCCTTCGACAGCATTTAAAGTTAATTGCATATATATTTAATAAAGATTTGTATTAAATTCCATAAAAATAAAGAGTGCAGTGATTACCTCATGACTACAAGAAATGAGCAACTCAAGAACTTCATGAACTGGGCTTAGTGATGCATGCCTATAAGCCCAGAGTTTGAGAAGTAGAAGAATCTTGAATTTGCGGTTAGCCTAGTGACTCCCTGGCAAAACAAAGGACAAACAAAAAGACAAAAAAAAAAAAAAAAAAAAAAAAAAAAAAAAAAAAAAAAAAAAAAAAAGGATAAAAGAAAAGAAAAACTTTGTACAATTGCTACAGAAGTGTGACAATGGCTTTTTGTCGTATCTGATGAGAATGTATCTTCATGATCATGGCCCTTTTGAAGACACTATAGTGGTTTGTGTTTATTTGTATAATATGGACTATGTGACACATCTTAGACACAGCTTAATCTGCCGCCACTTTTGCTTAATTAATTAATTAAAAAATTCCAAATCTAAAATTAAGGTATTAAAGCATAGCACTATCTCTCTAAATATTATTTATTTATATACATTCAAAATTTTATGGATGTGAATATTTTACCTGTATGTATGCCTGGTGGCCAAGGAGGCCAGAAGATAACATCAGGTCCCCAAACTGGAGTTACCCACAAATGTGAGTGGTCATGTGGATATTGTGAATAGAACCTGGGCCTTCTGCAAGAGCAACCAGTGCTCTTAACTCTTGAGCCATCTTTTCATCTCTAGCCTTGTTTCCTAGAGTAAACATTTCCTAGAGCAAACCCTAAGCCAAGGCAAGGAAGGTTCTTTCTTTCACTCCCTTAATTGTCATTTGACTTTGAATGCATCCTTAGAGCTTAATGACCTTTTCTAACCTCCCAGGTTAAATTATTCTTGTGCTATCAAATAAATTAAAAACCAACTTAAAAAGGTGGCATCACTGGAATTTTTTTGTTTTTTGTTTTTGCTTCATTTCTCAGAAAAATAAAAGCAAGTAACTGTTTTATGCTCTGAGAAATCACTAGGCTAAGCTATCCTTCCAAGTTGACCCATGGCAACTATGCTTGGTGAGCACCTCAGTTATGTCTGCTACTGAGTGGAACACAGTAGTATAGGTTTATATAACCATTAGCTCTTGGTCTGAATATTCAGTGAGGAACAATTACCTTCAGAGAAGCTCCAAATCACAACACAGAGAAGAAAAAGCTTTTCCAAACCCTGCTGCGAGCATCCTGCCTCTTTTCTCCAAGTTTGAATAGGTCTTCATCCCAAGGGTCTTCATCCCTTTAACTGCCTGTAACACCTTGAGAAATATTAAAAGTCACATTCCCTCCAGAGCTACCCACAGAGAGCTAAGGTCAGAACATGAAGACAACAAAAAGAAAAATTAAAAATCCAATTTAAAATATTTGAAAGTCCTGGATTTCTCTTTAGCCTAATTTCCAGAAATGTCTTGGACACGAGCCTCCCCAGTGAATTGGTTGTCTGAGTTGAATTTCCATTTCTTCTCAGTTTGACCCCAGCCTCCAAGTAGCCCTTCCCTGGTCAGTGACTCTGTTCAGATCCCCTACCTCTCTCATTTTCATAATTTTTTTCTATGCCCCAAATGAAGACCTATCAATATTGCTCATGCCGGCCCTTTCTATGAGCCTAGCACCAGAGCCTTGAAAATTCCAAGGAGTATATGTTCAATCAGGAATGGTGTGTGTCTGCTTCCATTCACATAGCAGTGTGGTCTGGAGCATGTATGTTTTCTTATGGGAGTAATCAGCTTCCAGGAGAACTGGATTCTACCTACTTAACTTTTACCTTGTTCCTTCTCCTGCTAGGTAGCTGCTGCCCAGATCCCAAAGAGCAAAGGGAAAATTGACAAGAAATACTGCCACCAGAGAGGCACTGGAAAATATCTCCTTGAGAAATATTAAATGTCAGACACTAAACATTGGGGGCTGGATGGGTTGCTAGTACTATCCAGCTCTCATTGTGTCTGGAACCATTGACATAAATCACTGAAGGCCCCTGTGGTACATCAACCATTGGAGTGAGCATGGTGGCCATTGTTGAACAGCTATGTCTTCTCTTCCTTTTTTTTCTCCCCAGCAAGTGCAGTAAAAGAACTCCCTGAGGGCAAAAAATATGAAGTGGTTTATCCTGTGAGACTTCATCCATTGAGTAAAAGAGAGACCAGAGAGCCAGAGCAAAAGGTTAGTACATCTATGATTGTCTTCGTTCTTGTACATGCATTCTCTGTGTATGCCTGTGTACATGTGTATACATGTGGGAACATGTTGGGGGAGGTCATAGGTCATTCTTACATTGTTTGTCTTGCTATCCATTTTGTCAAGACTGAGTCTCTCCATGGCCTGGAACACATTCATTCAGAACTAGGCTGGCCAGGAAGTCCCAAGATCTACCTGTCTTCATTTCCTCTTGGCTGGGATTAGAATCATGGACCATCATGTCAGGCTTTGAGAATAGGTGGGTTCTGGGTGTAGAACTCAAGTCCTCGTGCTTGCATGGCAAGCATATCATCAAACTGAGCCATCTTCCCAGGTAGCTCTTCTAGTTTTTCAATGACTCTCCCCTGGCAACTCCTCTGGTATTTTAGATTATACATAATTTGGAAACAAACAATGTTAATGATTATATTAGTTTGTTTCCCAAGCTTTTATTCTTCACTAGAACCCAAAGTTCTACTGGCTCCATTTTATGCAATAAGGTTCTGAGAAGCAAAATGCATAGTCCCTGGTCACAGAGTTCAGACTTTGATACTTTATAGTAATCCATGCTGTATGCTTTCAAATAATTACCTATAACTGACCTTATCTTATTTACTTATCTGCTATCTACCCACACATACATAATTATCACCTTAAATTACAACCAGAAAATAAAAATTGCGAATAAAACAAATTGGCATTTTTATCTGAAATTTATATCTTTTCTATGTAGGCAGCATTAAAATTTGTATAATTTTTGCACTGTAATGAGTCAGCCAACACTAGTTTAAATTTTTAATTAGTTGCAAGAGTAAAGCTAAAACATGATATCCAGATTGGGGCATGATGATGCACTTGTAATTCCAAGGGCTTGTCTGTATGGCTGTGAGGTGGTATAGTGAGTTCTAGGCCTTCCCTGGCTATATTTAAAGGATCTACCTGCAGAGTAGAATCTAGTGTTCCATTCAACAACAATATTCTAATCACCTACACCTGCAGCGTTTTATGGGCGTCAGGAACACAGAGATAAGTGAGACATTACTGATAACTGGAATAATCTAAAACGCAATCAGTTGGGAGTGCAGAGCCCCCCTACCAAAATTTGCTTCATGGAGTTTCTTCCAACATCAGCTAGTGCTAGCGGACCTTTAGTAAAATCCATTTCTCAAAATATCTTCATCAGAAAAAAAAATCCCCCTAACTCTTATGAAATCCATCTACACCAGTCATCTTCAACAAAATTTTCTTCAAATAATTCCTTGCGGCATCAAAAATGTCAGGTGCATCCTTTTCCTGAGTGTTTTGAGGAAAAGTTGAATGCAGGGAAAGATTTTATCACACTGGTGAACTTATTTCCTCACAAATCACGCTTTTAGTTGAAAGTTATATTGTGGCATGAAACCACGGATTACTTAGTGGCTGTGGTAGATGGTCGCTTAGTTTTAAAATTATTTACGTGCGTGTTCCATGTGTCTGTGTGTATGCGTGAGCATGTGTGGGTAGATGGCTGTAAAGGCAAAAGAGGTCATCAGATTCCTTGGAGATGGGGTTCCAGGTGCTTGCGGGCCACTCTTCCGGTGTTAGGAGTCTAACTGAGGTCCTCAGAGAGAGAGCAGCACCTGCTCTTAAGGAACGAGCCATTTATCCAGCTTCACAATGCTGAGTTTTGAATGGTTTTGAAGAGGGATGTGTTTGACGTGATGGGCTTAGTTTTACCGGAGACACACTGCTTATCTGGGTGACCTCCTAACAGCTACAGGAGACCTACGTTAGCCTGGTGCAAGGTGACCTACTGTGAAGGGTGAATGCATGCTCGCATCTCAGTTTGCTGGTTTTCCTGTTGGAAACCCAGACTTTAAATAATCCTTTGCCTTCAACTATACATAATAATGGTGATGCTCATACAGTACAGAAGATGGAAGATTTCACGTATGCAAAGTGAAGTAGGCTGCGAATGAGTGCTCTGTGTTCAAGGCTGTGATTTCTCTGCCTGTTGTAGCCCCTGTGTCACATGCCTTCTGACTCTTTTAAAGGGTTGTCTTGGTTTCTGTGAGTGGGCTTTTTCACCTCTTCTTTGCAACACTAGCTATTTGATAATCTGTGTTGGTGGTGTCTTTTCCTCTCCACAGCAATGTTTGTTTCTCTACACCTATGAATTCTCTGCTACTTTAAATGTTTACACACACACACACACACACACA